TCTCACTGCTAAAGTACCATTTGCCGCAGAACAGAAAAAGGTCTCGTTATGATTCTTCAAAACAAGGAATAAAACCAGGATTTCTATTTTTGTGAAAAAGGTGTTGGTTATAGATTTGTTGCTGACAAAACTCTTGTCTATTCAACTATTATGGTCCCAGCTGGATTCGTCTGCTTATCTGGCAACCTGAGTCAGGGAGAGTGCAGCACCACATTTGGCCAGATCTTTACATACTGCTCCTTTAATATAATGAATAACAAAGACATTGCAGAACTGAATGAGGACTTACTTACTTACTGTCAGTTCGCCTGGAGCTTTAATCTCAGCTCTAAGTGTTTATGCCAACAGGGAAATGCCTCTTTTATCCTAATAGTAATATAGTTTTCAGTTTGAAAACAGATCCGGCTGGAATGCAATGAAACAGCCGACGCAGTGAGGTCTCAATCCCCTGAGTTCTTCCACCGTTCACTTCAAAGGCTGCGAAGGTTCGTTATGCGTGTGGCGACAGACAGTAATTAAGTGAGAACACGGCATTGGGAGCAGCACTGCCTGGCCCCATCAATCACAGCCGTCTGCTAACCACCGGAATGTCAGGCGAGACGGCACGCCACGCTCCCAACGCGCAGCCGCCAAAACAACCAAACAGGTTCAGTCCTTTACACGGCCGTTTGTCACAACGAGCCGCGCACTGGACGTTTTGTGCTGTTGTGGATTAGCATAGCCTGTTGGTGTTGTGGATGTTAGCTTGTTTGCTTTAGAGAGAGAGAGGCCACAAGACCACACAATTTAATTAGGAACTGACAAGATTGAATTAACCAAACTCAAAAATGACCAAATCAATTATATAACAGAAATTGAAACTCAAACACAAATACAGTGGACTGACAATAAGAAGGGCTGGGCAGGCAATCAACTGAACCAGGAAGTAGAACTAAAAGACCCAGGAGAACCTGTCGATGCCTCAAACAGTAAAACAGCAATATTAACAAACACATAGGTGCCATTGGTGCATAGGGAGCGGGGTCACTGTCCTTAGACCCTCCTGCATATGCAAGGAACCACTCGAAAACCCAGTAGGAAAAATGAAAAAAACAATGTGGATATCTTCTGGTTCTGGAATGAAAGTTAGAAAGTTGGGGCTCTACAGAATAAATCAGTGATAAAGCATTATTAAGGTTAATGATATTATTGATAGTTGTTGTAAGCGTAAATACTGGAGAGGTCCTGTTTCAGTTTGTGCAAATTAGATATTTATGGTATTGTATTTTAAACTTAGAGGTATATTCTTTTCTCCAGAGCTTTCTGCAGGCAGTGGTTGTTCACTGTATCATTTATGTGGGGAGAAGGAGAGAAGCCTGCAGCAGCACATGGCTACTCACTGTATGTAAACAAGTCGCTGAAGCCAATATGGGTTTAGGACATTACAATCGAGTGGCTATAGATAATTTAATATTTGTTTTTAACTCACATCAATAGTTTTTACCATTTAGGTTTGGTTTGGCCAATATGAAAATATGGTGTCACATTTCACACATGAACTGCAGCTCAATGTGCACACACTTTAGGTAGCGACGCATCTAAAAGTCAACAGAAAAGACTGAACAAATTAGTTTATTCGGACAATGCCAAAAACAAATAAAACAAAAAAAATTTGTTCCCTCAAGGAATAGATAGAATAACCAATCATGTCCGAGAGGGAGCAGGACGTAGTATAATACTTGCGCATCCCGCAACCCTTTTCTACTTATCAATTTAACAAAACAAAAATAACATCCCTACTTCCCTTTAACTTAATAGATCAAGATAATCCAGCAAGACAAACTAAAAACGACACAAGAAATGTATCAAAGCTGTGATCAAATATTAAAATGCTTCTGTTTGATATCCACAAAATTACTGTCGTTTAAATAACTGTTTGAAATTATAAATATTTAAGTTTCCGTACAATTCCATACATTTACTCATACAGATACACAAAAGCTTTTCTTTGTAAAAGAGCTTGGTAACACATTTTTCATGTTAGGAAAACTAGATATTTTATAACTTTAAAAAAAAATACTTTTTTGTAAAATATGTCACTGTTTACTTCACGTTCTAAGCAGTTTGTCACAAAACCGGCACAGGGAGAGAATAACCCCTAATTCTTCTTATTCTTATTCTTATTATGTTATTATATATATTCACCAATACACTGTGTTTTGTGTTGTTTGAAATCTGAAATATTCTAAACTCCAACATAATACTGCTCCTTTAAACAATTTATTTTTGTCCCTTTTTTTTTTAGAATCTTGGCTTTCCTCTTTCCAAATGTACTTTGTATGAGTCCTAACACATAGATTAAACATTAACGTCGTCTATCGTGTGTGTTGAGTCAGCCTGGTATCGACCCGGTCCCTCTGTGGTGACAGACAGTAGCCGTGTGCTCGCTGTGATATGCAGGGGTTAAAGCGGGGAAGAGCTGGAGCCAGGGAGATTGACCCAGACTTGACCCGCACATGAGAACACCGAGCTCGCACACATTTGCAGACGGCTCATCCCCAAAAAGATGGCTGACGCGATACAGGGGAATATAAACCACCTCCTTTTCTTTATCAGATCAACACATTTTACCATTAACATGTTCACTTTCACTTGTATTCAGAGATCTTTTATTTGTCCCACTGCGGGGAAATGTCAGTGTTGTTACAGAGCAGTTGTTACCAGTTACAGAACAGTATGAGGAGAACGCAGCACGAGATACATGAAGGATAACTCTATGCTAAAATAGAATCAAATCTCTAGCTTTAGCATAATAAAGAAGCTAGTATAAAATCTCAAGCTTTAGCATAATAAAGAAGCTAGTATAAAATCTCTAGCTTTAGCATAATAAAGAAGCAGGTATAATATCTCTCTTTATTTTATGATTTGGATCGTACGTGCGCTCTGATTGGCTGATTTGCGGTCTGACATTTTCCCATCTCGGACCGTTACCATGACAATTGGTCCGCAGCGCATATCAAATTTGATATCTGTCAAGAAGAGATTGACAACTTCGTTACGGATCAGAAAGGTAAAAACATGATTAGGAAAACCAAGTCGGACATGAACATACTTCACAAATATCTAAAAAGCATTGGTAAAGACACAGAAGAGATTGAGAACGTACCAGCGGGCGACCTCAGTCATCTGATAAGTTCTCCATGTCACCAGTTGACAGTTTGGTTGCATATGTTTACGGTTGAAGCCGATCGATATTTGCATAAAATAAAAATAGTCATATAATAAAACCTTTATTAACCTCGCTTGCTCGGTCTGTACAGAGAAATATCAGACCTTGGTCTTTTTGCACAGACGGCGCGGTCTGTGCAAAAAGGCAGCGGTCTGATATTTCTCTGTACAGACCTCACGCTCGTTTTAATAAGCCGTTAGTCTCTTTAACATAATAAAAATGCAAGAATAAAATATTGTATATTCTAGTGCAAGAAATATATAGTTGTAGATATAGTACTTTATCTAGTAGTATATAGTTACCTTATCTTATCATTCTAATCTCATTATTATTCTTATTTTCACATAGTTACTTTAATTTTTATTTTTATTCTGAAATACTTTGCGAGCTACTGTGACAAAGCAATTTCCCTTGTGGATCAATAAAGTCTGTCTAAGTCTTGCAGGTTTGAACACATGACCGTGGACACATGTGGTTCTATATTGCACATTCTGAAATTATTATTACAATTATTATTTTCCATATATCAGTAGTTTCTCATAATTTTTCTTTTAAGGCCAAATTGTATTGCTACGATCGTGCAGGGAGAAAATAGTTGGAAAGCTGTCAGGAGCCTGTAACTAAACTCCAGCTACTTGTGCAGTCCAACAGTTCAGTCTGACCTGAAATTCACTTCCTGGATGCGGACCAATCAGATAAGGCATCAGCGCTGGTTGGGAAGCACATTGGCCGTGAACGAATGGAACGAGCCATTAAGTTGACCAGGAGCAAAAAGGAGAGAAGGAATAAGAAAGAAAATGGAGTGAGAACTATTACTGAGCTGTACTTCCCAAGAGTATACGCTTTAATGACGGCTATTTCAGCGGCTTCATTTCTGGTCATTACAATCAAGCTACTCCTGGAAAATAACACTAAAGCATACACAACACAAGGAGGCGAATGTTGGGGTACAACTTTTTGACTCACATTTACATTGGATTTGGCTACTGAATCATTCTCTCAAGTTTGTAACGGAATTATTTAAAACCTATTTTCAATTATGCATTTTATGAAACATTTATCATAGAATTTGAGCGCTGTAGTTATATTGACAAGGACGTTCAAACTCCACTCTCCCTTTTATTTTTTATTTTATTTTATTCGCCATGTGAAGCGTCTTTGAGTTTCCAAAAAAGCGCTATAGAAGTTTGATGTATTGTTTTTATTGTATGTGTTGCTATGGAATCAATGTGATCTATTGTTATGACAAAAAACGTAATCTTATAATGAATTGGTTTAATGGAGCATTTTTTTGGACACTCAAAGACACTTCTCATGAGTTCACTTCATGCACCTACTACTGTAGCCACAGCTGCCCTGTGGCACGCTGGCCTGCTTAGCTTTTGAGGTCTTCTGGGATCAGGCTTTCACTTAAGATTTAGAGGGTTTCTCTCAACTCTCTCAAAGTCAATCTGAGAAATGGTGTATTTCTATTTCTATTGTAACTAACAGGTTAAGATTAAGAGATGAAGTTTCAGTCTTGCATCACCGTGTACAGAACTACAGGAATGAGGAGCACACAGCACAAGATAAATAAACAACAACTCTGTACTGGTTAAAATAAAATATCTAACTTTTGTTTAATAAAGAAGCAAAACAGTAAATCACAAACTAGAAGTTTGCTTTGGTACATGGTGCAAACAAGTAACAAAAAAGTAAAAAGATAGATGTATTCAGGCGGCGCTTTTAGTGAAAACAGTCAATGATTTCAGTTTGTTGACGTTGTTGCTGTCTTGCACATGACTCTGACCTGATGGTGCAGCGTCAGCCTGACACTGTGAGCGAGGGTCCAACCTTCTCCACCAAACTGTGATCTGCGGCTGCCAAAACCAACACCACCTCTGCCCCGGCTCCAACTACAGCTCTGTGTGACCACTGCAGGTCCATACAGTGTCCAACTACAGCTCTGTGTGACCACTGCAGGTCCATACAGTGTCCAACTACAGCTCTGTGTGACCGCCGCAGGTCCATACAGTGTCCAACTACAGCTCTGTGTGACCGCCGCAAGTCCATACAGTGTCCAACTACAGCTCTGTGTGACTACTGCAAGTCCATACAGTGTCCAACTACAGCTCTGTGTGACCGCCGCAAGTCCATACAGTGTCCAACTACAGCTCTGTGTGACTACTGCAAGTCCATACAGTGTCCAACTACAGCTCTGTGTGACCGCCGCAAGTCAATACAGTGTCCAACTACAGCTCTGTGTGACCGCCGCAAGTCCATACAGTGTCCAACTACAGCTCTGTGTGACTACTGCAAGTCCATACAGTGTCCAACTACAGCTCTGTGTGACCACTGCAGGTCCATACAGTGTCCAACTACAGCTCTGTGTGACCGCCGCAAGTCCATACAGTGTCCAACTACAGCTCTGTGTGACCGCCGCAAGTCAATACAGTGTCCAACTACAGCTCTGTGTGACCGCCGCAAGTCCATACAGTGTCCAACTACAGCTCTGTGTGACTACTGCAAGTCCATACAGTGTCCAACTACAGCTCTGTGTGACCGCTGCAGGTCCATACAGTGTCCAACTACAGCTCTGTGTGACCGCTGCAGGTCCATACAGTGTCCAACTACAGCTCTGTGTGACCGCTGCAGGTCCATACAGTGTCCAACTACAGCTCTGTGTGACCGCTGCAGGTCCATACAGTGTCCAACTACAGCTCTGTGTGACCACTGCAGGTCCATACAGTGTCCAACTACAGCTCTGTGTGACCACTGCAGGTCCATACAGTGTCCAATTACAGCTCTGTGTGACTACTGCGAGTCCACACAGTGTCCAACTGCAGCTCTGTGTGACCACCGCAGGTCCATACAGTGTCGCAGATTTAATATTATATTGTCTAATCTATACAGGGATGGTTGGTATCAGTCCCCGCTGTAATTTAGTAGAAAAAAGAAAATATAGGCTATTTGTTCATGTGGATGGAAAAATCTAGGCGTTTCTGCTTAGACTGCTGTCTCCGTGACCCGGCAAAGGATAAAGGGGAAGAAAATGGAATGGAATGGCAAACACAATGTCAATATCTTTGTGAAGAAAACGGCATAAAAAACATACACGTACATGAAAAAAGTAAAATGGTAAAACTCAACTGGTGTTAAAATCCAAGGTCTAAAAATGTGTCTTTAGACTAGATTTAAAACCTTCTAATAAAGGAGCTGCTCTAATGAACAGAGGTCACTATTCCACAGTTTGGGGGCAGCAGAATGTGACCATATGTGTCTGATGTAGCACGTTCAATCCAAAGCAATAATGTTATTGTGAGTACAAAATGACGCTATTTGTATCATGGGAGTGTTGAACTAAATCCCTGATCAACATCAATAGAATATTAATATACTTACACACATACGGGAGAAAAGTGTGTAATTTTTATCTTTCTCTTTAACTTTCCAATATTGCACTAAAGAAATAAAACTAATGTATGTTAAAGTACTATTGTAATAGAATTACTTGTTCCCCAATAAATAAAAACTGTATTCATGCACAGTGGGAGGTTTTGGTGTAGTAGGGTAGGGTAGGGTAAGGTAGGGTAGGGAGGGGTAATGTAGGGTAGGGTAGCAAGTAATCTTTTTTTACGTAGCGCCATTCACAGACCAGGGTCACAAAGCGCTTTACAATTGCTGTGGGCATTTGTGCTTTCACTCCACACAGAGATGGGAGCAGGGGCCGGATCTACTGTAGATGTTTTTAGCGGTAGGGGAAAACAGGAGCACCTGGAGGAAATCTACGCAGACACAGGGAGAACATGCAAACTCCACAGAGAAAGGCTTGGAGGTGGAATTGAACCCAGGAACTTCTTGTTGTGTAGAACAAGCACAAACCACTGTGTAGGTTGGGTTAAGTTAGTGTTTGATAGTGTAGGGTAGGGAAGGGTAGGGTAGTGAATTGTAGGGAAGGGTAGAGAAGTATAGGGTAGAGTAGGGTAGGGTAGAGAAGGTTAGGGTGGGGGTAGAGAAGGGTAGGGTAGTGTAGGGTAGGGAAAGAAGTGTAGGGTAGTTTTGAGAAGTGTAGGGTAGGGTAGAGAAGGTTAGGGTTGGGTAGAGAAGGGTAGGGTAGGGTAGAGAAGGTTAGGGTAGGGTAGAGAAGTGAATAGTAGGGTAGGGAGTTTTCAGAAGTGTAGGGTAGGATAGAGATGGGTAGGGTTGGGTAGAGAAGGTTAGGTAGAAGGGTAGGGTAGGGTAGAGAAGTGTAGGGTAGGGTAGAGAAGGTTAGGGTAGTGTAGAGAAGTGTAGAGTAGGGTAGAGGAGTTTTCAGAAGTGTAGGGTAGGGTAGAGAAGGGTAGGGTAGAGTAGAGAAGATTAGGGTAGAGTAGAGAAGGGTAGGGTAGAGAAGTGTAGGGTAGGGTAGAGAAGTGTAGGGTAGGGTAGAGAAGGTTAGGGTAGACTAGAGAAGGGTAGGGTAGAGAAGTGTAGGGTAGGGTAGAGAAGGTTAGGGTAGACTAGAGAAGGGTAGGGTAGAGAAGTGTAGGGTAGGGTAGAGAAGTGTAGGGTAGGGTAGAGAAGGTTAGGGTAGACTAGAGAAGGGTAGGGTAGAGAAGTGTAGGGTAGGGTAGAGAAGTGTAGAGTAGGGTAGGGGAGTTTTCAGAAGTGTAGGGTAGGGTAGAGAAGGTTAGGGTAGAGTAGAGAAGGGTAGGTTAACACTGTGAGTCGACTTGCCTTCATTCTCAGATGTTTTTGGCTTGGTTTCACACGTGAGCAAAAGTGAATGACGCAAATAGATTCATTCATCATCTTTTTTTATTACTAAACTTGTCATAAATAAACAGATATAATTTACATTGTGTTTCCCTATAAAACCCAGACTCGGAACGGTCTGAAAAAGTCACAAATATCTACCCCACAAAGATGCACTACCGCTGCCTGAGTCCCCTGCAGACTTGAGGCGTTAGCAGTCACTCAACACGGTTCTACACAAATAACCTTGACACGATCGAGCTGTGGATCTGGAGGCGGGACATCACCGGTGAAGCTGGCACTGGATCTATGGCGTAAAATAATGACCCTGGAAGCCTGGAGAGACTTACACATGAGTAAAGAAGTCAGAGTAAAGTCATAGAAAGACTCGCATTAGAGCTGGGGTACCTAACTTTGAAACCACACTGTAATTAGTTATTTACTTTCTCTGCTAACTGTTTGGTTTTCAATTTGTAATCAGCTGTAAGGGCCAAACAAAGCCAATAGACGATTCTTAACTCATCACTCCTGCTCCTCATTACTACTTCTGTAACTTGTGATGCAACACTGACATTTCCCCGCATAAAAGGATAAAGGATCTCTTCAGCTTAATTTACTGATGAGCTGTTTTAACGCTCACAAATTATAGTCTTAATCACAAATAGAAGTGTATTTCCCTGTACTTCCTCCTGTATGTCTGCTGTTCACATAAACGTATCAGGAAGCAGGAATGTATGCTATTGTATGTCATCAGCTGATCCCCTCCTGCACCGTAGGGGGAGCCCTAACAGAAAAAAACACATACATTTCCTGCATTGCTATATGTGAAAAAGTAGTATTGTCAGATTTTTTAGAGCCAATCCGCTCTCAGTGTGTAAAAAATAACATGTTTCGGATGAGACAAAGAGGTTATGTTGTGGTCAGATTTGTTCACAATATGCTTTTAAAGCGAGACCCCTTTTGTTGGGGACAAAAGTTAGATACTCCAGCTTTCATTTCTGAACAATCTGAAATGGGACCATGTTGGAAGATGATGTCGTGTGCAAATCCATGAAAAATGATTATAAATGTGTGATTCAAAAGTAAAAAGATCGAGTTGAAAAATGGTCTTTTTTAGATTTTAACTTTTGTTCAATTAGAGATTTGTTTGAATTTTAGTTTACCTTAATTCGTGGTCTTGCACACTGCGTCCTGAATGCTAACATCAATAACAAGATATTAACAAAATCTAGTCTAACAAACAAAAATGCATTTGACTGAGTTTTTACAACAGCAGAAGCCAAAAAAATGTGCATATTTTTTATCATGGCCTCTTTTTCCTCTTACTTGCTGCAGCCCTCTGTGGAAACGACTTCCTGCTTTCCCCTTTAAACATCGTCGAGCGACATTTTTAAATAAATTGGGCTTAGCTTGCAGCCGGTAGCAGGTGCTGGAAACCAGATCTTGTCCAAAAACATTTCTAAATTTGAACCCAATGAAAACATCCACAAAACAACTGCACTTTTTCTTCTTTTTTGGTTCTTTCTCCTGGCGCGTCTCTCCGTACAACAACAATAACGACAGTCCAACCCCGCGTCCTTGAGCGATGCGGCTGGCCTGACTTTACCCGGTTAGAAAAAGTTTGGCTAGGCTCGGTTATTCTTGGAGGCGAGGAAAAAGAGAGAGAGAGGAGGAGGAGGAGGAGAGACGTCACATGTTGCAGAGTCGTGCGGTCCGTCTGGGATTAGCTCCGGGGATGAAAAGTCGCGCAGAGGCCGAAAGACGAAGAAGAAGCGGCGAGTTCAGCAGCACGCGGAGGCCAGGCCGTGCGGTTCGGCCCCGGGCTATTACCGGCGCATGTGTCTGGGAGGAAGTGGCTTTTGCTGCTGATGATATGAAGGAGTCAGAGAGAGGCCTGAGCGCAAGAACATGTGTGGAATGTGGAGACCAGGGACGGAGCGGGGCGGCCTGATTCGGCATCAACAACACTAATAATAATAATAAAAATAATAATAATAATAATAATAATAATAGCTTATTTGGAAACATAAAAAACACATTGAAATGATCATGTAGCATCATTAAAGGTGAGGTCTGCTGATTCCATTTGTATTTAATTGCGAAAAAACATTTAGTCAGAGATGTTGTACTTAATTCTTCACTCTGCCAAAGTTGGAGATTTAAGATTCCGTCCTTATTGAATGCTAAAGCTCAGGAGATTTAATATCTATTATTTATTTAGTATAGAGTATTGTTCATTTATCTTGTGCTCCTCATTCCATAATGTTCTGTAACTTGTGAAGCAACACTGACATTTCCCCGCTGTGGGACAAATAAAGGATCTTTTCATCTTGATTTTTAACCTATGACCCTGTAGTATTTAAGTACTTAAGTACTTAAGTAGTAGTAATCAGTTGTTTTCATAATAGATATATTTGAAACAGTCTCTCTCTTTGGAATAAGCGTCACTATTTTAGAATAGTTAAACCAAGTGGAAACATGTGGATGTAGAGACCAGGGACCAGGGACCAGGGACCAGGGACCAAGGACCAGGGACCAAGGACTAGTGACCAGGGACCAGGGACCAAGGACCAGAGACCAGTGACCAGGGACCAGGGACCAAGGACCAGGGACCAGGGACCAGGGACCAGGGACTAGGGACCAGGGACCAGGGACCAGTGACCAGGGACTAGGGACCAGAGACCAGGGACCAAGGACCAGGGACCAGGGACCAGGGACCAGAGACCAGGGACCAGGGACCAAGGACTAGTGACCAGGGACCAGGGACCAGGGACCAAGGACCAGAGACCAGTGACCAGGGACCAGTGACCAGGGACCAGGGACCAAGGACCAGGGACCAGGGACCAGGGACCAGGGACCAGGGACCAGGGACCAGTGACCAGGGACTAGGGACCAGGGACCAGTGACAAGAGACCAGGGACCAGTGACCAGGGACCAGGGACCAAGGACCAGGGACAAGAGGCCAGGGACCAGGGACTAGGGACCAGGGACTAGGGACTAGTGACCAGGGACCAGGCCAGGGACCAGTGACCAGGGACCAAGGACCAGGGACAAGAGGCCAGGGACCAGGGACTAGGGACCAGGGACAAGAGACCAGGGACCAGTGACCAGAGACCAGAGACCAGGCCAGGGACTAGGGACCAGGGACCAGGGACCAGGGACCAGGGACTAGGGACTAGGGACCAGGGACCAGGGACCAGGGACCAGGGACTAGGGACCAGGGACTAGGGACCAGGGAGGGACCAGTGACCAGGGACTAGGGACCAGAGACCAGGGACCAGGGACCAAGGACCAGGGACCAGGGACCAGGGACCAGAGACCAGGGACCAGGGACCAAGGACTAGTGACCAGGGACCAGGGACCAAGGACCAGTGACCAGACCAGTGACCAGGGACCAGGGACCAGGGACCAGGGACCAGGGACCAGGGACTAGGGACCAGGGACCAGTGACCAGGGACTAGGGACCAGGGACCAGTGACAAGAGACCAGGGACCAGTGACCAGGGACCAGGGACCAAGGACCAGGGACAAGAGGCCAGGGACCAGGGACTAGGGACCAGGGACTAGGGACTAAGTGACCAGGGACCAGGCCAGGGACCAGTGACCAGGGACCAAGGACCAGGGACAAGAGGCCAGGGACCAGGGACTAGGGACCAGGGACAAGAGACCAGGGACCAGTGACCAGAGACCAGGCCAGGGACTAGGGACCAGGGACCAGGGACCAGGGACCAGGGACTAGGGACTAGGGACCAGGGACCAGGGACCAGGGACCAGGGACCAGGGACTAGGGACCAGGGACTAGGGACCAGGGACAAGAGACCAGGGACCAGTGACCAGAGACCAGGCCAGGGACTAGGGACCAGGGACCAGGGACCAGGGACCAGGGACCAGGGACCAAGGACCAGGGACAAGAGACCAGGCCAGGGACCAGGGACCGGGCCAGGGACTAGGGACTAGTGACCAGAGACCAGGCCAGTGACCAAGGACCAGGGACAAGGGACCAGTGACCAGGGACAAGGGACCAGTGACCAGGACCAGTGACCAGGGACAAGGGACCAGGGACCAGGGACCAGGGACAAGGGACCAGGGAGCACGGGTCGGCCTGGTTTGGCACAAATTCTACTAATGATAAAGCGTCAAACTGTGATTTGGGACTTTACAAGCTTACATTGAATCAAATTTTGGAGAGAGACGAAGAAGCTTCACAAAACGTTCAAAGAGAATAGATCATTAAAGAGTTAAATCATTAAAGGTGATGTCTTCTAAATCAGTTGTTTTGGAAAGATCGTTCTTAAACATAATTATGACCCTGTTCTAGTATCTATATACAGTGTTTTAAATTATATACATATTTGAAACAGTCCTTCTCTATGGAATAAGCATCACTAAAGAAATAATTGCTGGAGATGAATAGTGACGCAAAAAGTGAGGGTTGTCAATCAAGAATTTTTTTTAATTGCGTCCAATCAGGAGCCTGTAGGGGCGGGTCTAACTAGCGCTCTATCGTCGCAAATTGAAAAGTAACTGAGCTTCATTTTTAGTGGGAATCAGTAATTACATGGAAAAAACTCTTCTGGAAAAGTTAATTATTAAAAGCAGTTGCTCACATGTGAATTTTTAAGCTAACATTAAACCGGTTATATCTGGCTTTCTGTACGTATAACTTAGGCCGCTACCATTACAGCTTTGACACCACACCGTTCACCGCCTCTGCTGACTCGGACCCGACAGAGGCTCCGTGTGTGTTTGTGTGAAAATGCTGCTGCTGCTCCTACCTTCCTACCCTACATCGTCCACCTCTGCACTCTTCTTCTCCTTCACTTTCGCCACCTTCTTCGACGCCTTCTTGTCTCCATCCTCCTGAGCCGTGTCCTTTCCGTCCCTCTCTTTCTCCTTGTCTCTCTTTTCCTTTGACGTTTCCTTTTTCTCCTTGGAATCTTTCTTTGCTTCCTTCTTTCCCTCGTCTTTAGGCTCCTTGGTGGATTCTCTCCTCTTCTCTTTGGAGGCCTCTTTCCTCTCCTTCTTCACCTCCTCGGCTGCAGACTTGTCCTCGGGCTCCTTCTGCTCTTTGGGGTCTTTATCTGGAAGAGAGGACAGAGAGAGACGTGAGTGAGCAGGAGTGTTGGGAAGAGGATCTATCTCCGCACTTGGGATAAGGACAAGAGCGGCTGAGGACCTGTGGATGTGAGATGACCACAGAGTCCAAACATAGACACACTAGACACACAACTGTGAAAAAGCACAAAACAAATAAAAAGCAATGGACACAGAGGTTTTGGGACGTAACCATGGCGCTGAGGAACAGACTCAATACAAGAGACAATATCACGCCAACTTTTTTGTGATTTTTATTGATATTTCTGTACCGTTCTCTCCATGGCCTCGCACCAAAGTACATCTGTGACATTTTAGAGCCATATGAACCAACTCTGAGGAGCACAGGGACTGGCCTCCTGCTGGGACTCTGAGGAGCACAGGGACTGGCCTCCTGCTGGGACTCTAAGGAGCACAGGGACTGGCCTCCTGCTGGGACTCTGAGGAGCACAGGGACTGGCCTCCTGCTGGGACTCTGAGGAGCACAGGGACTAGTATCCTACTGCATGGAACTGTGAGTAGCACAGGGACTGGCCTCCTGCTGGTGTCCAGAGTCAGGACAAAACATGGGGAGGCAGCATTTCAAATTCATGAAGCTAAAATCTGTCTTCCTGAAAATGTGAGACAGGCTTCTACTCTGATTAATGTCATTTTCCACTTTTAATTGCCTACTGTATGAATTGTGCTATACAGATAAACTTGATTGTTTTTCATTGAAGCCCAAAGTAGTGATTGTAACACACGCAGTTACCGAGCAAGAGAAGGTTACTTTTCAATGCGAGTTGGAGCAAAACTTCATCCATGAGCACTTCCCTATTGGGCTTCATAGAGCTAGCAGGTTAGCATTTTCCATCTATACACAGGCTATGAACGTACACAGTGAAATGAAGCATCCAGGTGCATCACAGCTGTATGATGCAGAGGTAAGATTTCAGTACAAACTCATTATAATTTCACTTCAGTTGCATTTCAGTTCAAAAATACAAACACCGGCTTTAAACAGGCTCTAAAATGTTGTGTCAGTTTAATTTGACAATGAGGCCTCAGACGCATTTGACAAGTCGAAACCAGAACTTAAAGAGAAAGACATAATCTAGTGCAATCCAGACACTGTTTGAAGAAATCCAGCTATTTGCATTGTAGAGAAACGCATTATGTCAAATTATATAGAAGTAAGAAAGGAGCGTTTGTTTTCATAATTGCGAGGTTTAGTTAAGCTTGTCGTTTCAGAAGGCGCAGTCATTTTGTGTGATTTAATGTGATTTGACTAACTCCGTAAATATGAAAGTCATCAGTCACAGTGGAGCAGATTTACGATTGCAACAACACACAAAGGAGGGAAACACGAAACTAACCCCAGATCAGGTCAAGTGGGAGGACGGTGCTAGAGATCGGAAAAAAGGCCACGGAAGGATCTGGATCTACGACCTGAGTCCTGGAAAAGCCATGTTCCAGCTTCTTCCCTCTGGCAGAAGATATTGTTCGTTCAAATTAATGTATTTTTGTGTTGCCCTAAATCACAACAGTAGTTATCTCGGAGGACTTTACCGTTGAAATCGCCAACACAAATCAGAGAACCAAACAGACCACATAGGCATCGATCCATAGGGAGAGACCAATGTCCTGCACCGGACCCGCTGCGTGGCATTGGTCCTCGTTCTGTAGCTTAGGTCCTGGATCTACAGCCCGTCCGTCCGTGTAGGAGCGGATCCCTTGCTCAAAATGTGGGTCTCCGAGGTTTCTCATTTTTTTCCCACAGGGTTTTTGTGAGTTTTTCCTTGCCAGTGCAGGACTCAGTTAGACAGTGTCCAACAAGAAGGACTGTGGTGATGATCCAGGACACTTTGACATTCTACAACATGTATGATATTTATCAACATTCATGCACATTGGTATATTTTGTGTTTTAACTGTTGATTCTCTGATCTGTGTTGGTGATTTCAATGGTTTTGTTAAGTCTCTGAGATGATACTGTTGTAATTTAGGGCTATACAAGTATAAGTTGTTGTTGTCCTGGATCATCACCACAGTCCTTTTTGTTATACCCACTAACTGTCAGACTCCTGCATCGACAAGAACTCTAAAACTCTACTCTAAACCTTGTTGAGCTGCAGAACTACAGAAATATGCTAACAGCTTCTTTCATCTGTTATCAGTCTGAACAAAGCACTTTAATGATGTAATGTACTTGTATACTGTTTTTGTAGATTGGTTTCAAAGTGATAATTGTTTCTTTTATTTTTTTGCGAGTTTTATTCACTCGTCTGGTGCACACTGGGGTCTTTCACACATGTATTCCAACGTGGTTTTACTGCAAATGGCAAATAAACTGAATCTTAATCTGAAACCACAGCCTTTCAGTGGGAGCGGATCCCAATATGAGCCGCCCCGAGGTTTCTCACTTTTTCCCACTGCTTTTTTAAAGTGGTTTCTTGCCGATGCAGGAGGGTCGGAGGACAGTGAACCAATGGCTCTTACAGTATGTGTTTGTTATTACTGCAAATTGAATTGAAAAAGTGACGTTGCTGTGAACTTGTTGCCGCCAGAAATCAGTTATCTCTTTGCTAACCTCTCTGCTTAAAACGCAAACAGTCAGAAGGATCGCGAGGCCCTGATCTCACCGTCTGTATTCATTCACATATTTTTGTTCAACATCCCTTTGCTTCATGTTGTAGTGCGGAAGACATACATTTGACATTCCTTCTACATTCCTACTCTCTTTAGCTTAATAAAGAAGCAAAGTATAAACTTGTATAATCTAGTGTATTGATTGATAGATAGATACTTTATGGATCCCCGTCAAAGAAATTCAGGTGTCCAGCAGCAGCAAAAATAAAAAAATAAAATTGATAATTCTTAAAAGCTAACAATAGTAATTATCAGCAACAGCCCATCAGGTCAAGCAGCAGAGGTGGAGTAGCCTCTGGGTGGAGCAGGACAGGTCACAGCAGCAGAGGTGGAGTAGCCTCTGGGTGGAGCAGGGCGCTTGGTTCGGACCATTTTCTCTGCTCTAGTCCAAAGTAAAATGCTAAATGCTTCATTAGCATTTTTTTTTAAAGTTAGCATTCCTCCAGTGGATTTTCACCTGATCCGCTTTGGACCATGAATCCTCTCCGCTCTGGTCTGGACCAGTGTAAAACCATGAACACTGTACTGCAGCAACATCTCAGGTAGAAAAAAGCAAGAATAACAACAACTGTTTCAGAGCTGTTTCAGGACTTGTAGCCGTTTTCCAAAGATGTATGTATGTACTGTATACAACTGTAGATAGACGCTGTAGTACCTGAATTGAATATACAAGGAACTGGAAAAGGTCTACTGTGTAAAACTTTCACGTCGGACTCTCTGTCGACGAGGTTTGCGCGGTGACGTGAATAAACAAACGTCTTGCGAACGAGGATTACTGTCACAAACAGAGAGCAACAATCAACTGTGAAGTGGACAGCTCCTAATGACGAGCAGGACTGACACAGGCACCTGTTACATGACAAAAGACCCCCTCTGTCTCCCCCGCTGTCTCCCCCCTCTGCATATCGTCCCTGCTGTGTGATGCATTGATAACTCACCGTCTGCCTGCACTGAGTCTCTCTCCTTATCTCAAGTGTGTGTGTGTGTGTGTAGATTTTAGTCCCGTCCACACACACACACATCCTTTATATGGACAACAGTCACATACACAAGATTCAATGATCGGATTTGGGTTATTACGGATAATGCAAATAGAGACTATGGCTTAAGGTTAATCAATCAATCAATCAACTTTATTTGTATGGCGCCTTTCCAACACAAGGCCACTCAAAGCGCCTCACAACCCACATAATATCACACAAATCAGAGACATCAATAAATACATTAAAAACAGAATAAAATCACAAGTAATGGAAAAAAAAAAAAAAAAAAAAAAAAAAAATATTAAAAGCACACACGGGATTAAAATAATAAATAACCACAATGCATTAAAAAAAAAAAAAAAAAAGAGTATGTATCAATAAAATCCTTCAGCCGTATGCACAGCTAAAAAGAACAGTTTTTAGCCCTGATTTAAAAATTGCCAGAGTAGATGCTAGCCTCACATCTTCAGGAAGATTGTTCCAGATTTTAGCTCCATAAATCTCAAACGCTGCCTCCCCATGTTTAGTTCTGACTCTTGGAACCAGTAAGAGGCTACCTCCTGTGCTCCTCAGAGTCCGGGCCGGTTCATATGGGACTAACAAGTCGCTTAAGTACCCTGGTGCGAGGCCATGGAGAGACTTGTACACAAGCAGTGCTGCTTTGAAGTCTATTCTCTGAGCCACAGGAAGCCAGTGCAGAGACCTGAGAACTGGACTAATGTGGTCATATTTCCTGGTCCTGGTCAGGACTCGAGCTGCAGCATTTTGGACATACTGCAGTTGTTTTACAGCCTGTTTGGAGAGACCTGTGAGCAGGCCATTGCAGTAGTCTAACCTACTGGAGACAAATGCATGGATGAGAATCTCCAGATCTGATTTAGACACTATGTTTCTAATTTTGGCAATGTTTTTCAGATGGTAAAATGCTGCTGATGTTACTGATTTGATATGACTGTTAAAATTTAAGTCTGAGTCCATTATAACTCCTAGGTTTCTGACCTTGCCTACAGGTTCCAGGGAGAGAGACTGGAGGTGACGAATAACGCTCTCTCTTTGTTTCTGAGGACCAAAGACAATCAATTCTGTTTTGTCTGCGTTTAGCTGAAGGAAGTTATTTTGCATCCAATCACTAATCTGTTGAGTACAGTGAAGGAGTGATTCCACTGGTCCATGTTCTCCTGCAGTAAGTGAGACATAAATTTGAGTGTCATCAGCGTAATTGTGGTAGGATACATTGTTGGAGCGTATTAACTGACCTAACGGCAGCATGTAAATATGTAAATATTGAACAGAAGAGGCCCCAGAAAAGGTTAAGATAATTCGAGAACATGAATGTAAGCCCAGGTAATGTCCCCAAGAACCCTGAAAGCCGACATGTGTGTGCTGGCCCAGTACTGACTCCACTCGCTTCTGTAATCAGGAGCCAAATCGTCTGCAGCTTAGGGAGATTGTGGAGAGAACAACTGCTGTCAGCCGCTGTTGTGATATAGATACTGTATATACATGATGCATTGAATATATAGGAAAAATACGTGGACTTCTTAAATGCAATCGATGACATGGGGATTTAAGAGTGACTGTGGCACAATAACATCAGGACATATGAGATTTAATGCCTTTTACTTGTTGAAGTCTCGACACTAAAGTTAATTTAGAGTCACTTCAACTCACAGGTGATGGGAATCGGCCCCATGAACCATCATTATCATCCTTCAACAGATTCAAGGGGGGAAACATGCAAACTCCACAGAGAAAGACCTAGGTCGGCATGGGAACTGAACCCCTGAAGGCCTTCTTGGTGTGAGGCATAAGCACTTGGTGGCTGAGTGGATAGCACTCTCGCTTCTCAGCAAGAAGGTCCTGGGTCCGAGTCCCGGTCGAAACAGGGCCTTTCTGAGTTGAGTTTGCATGTTCTCCCCGTGTCTGCGTCGGTTTCCTCCGGGTGCTCCGATTTCCCCTACCACTAAATACATGTACAATAGGTCTGAATGTCAATGAGAGAGGATGGTGTTGATTGGGGGCTGATGCGCCAGTGTGTTCGGCGACTCGCTTCCGTCATCACCGTGTGTGGAATAATCAGACCAATATCTGAACTCTGAACATTGTAAAGCACTTTGGGTGACCTTGGTCTGTAAAATGCGCTATATAAATAAACATAACTTACATTACTAATTACTTACTATTACCCACCCTGCCACCGTGCTTGATACGGAATACGTTTAAATGTAAACGCTACAAAAATGATTCATGTTAAAAAATGGACCAATGGCTTCTTTTGCTATTATTGCATTTCTTGCGTTTGAACAGTTTGATTCTCTGATCTGTTGTAGAGGAATCGACAACATTGTAAAGTCCTCTGAGACGACTGGTGTTGTAATTTAGGCTATACACCAATAAACTGAATTATGTTCTTATTCTACCAGCAAAACGTGGGGTTTCTAATTTCCAAATCTCCCAATCTACAAATAGTTTTTGAGTTTTTGTATACAGTTCATTATGTTTATGATTTTAGACAAACTCAAGCTGCCATAATAAAATTGGGTAAAATCAAAAGCATATTTTGTGGGGGTTTTGGTTCAAGAAGTAAAATCCCCTATGCAAAATCTCCATAAGGAAAATTATATATTATAAAAGATTGACAATGTGTTCGGGGATGATCAGATTATGAGAAAAATCTACAGTAATATAGAGTAATTTGTGTACATGTACTCGGTGAACACGTTTGCTGTGTTTTACTGTAGATTGTTATCATGTAGCTAGCCGGTCGCCGCTATGTCTTCAAACTTTTGAAATCTGTACTTTTCAAAACTCCAGCCGGGATTTTTCATGGGGAATTGTACTTTCAGAAACCCTCTGTTCCACCCATCATAGGGGCGTGCCTCAGGGCTCAGTCATCGGGCCGTTGTTAAATAAAATTCAAACCCTGGTGACACCATTTCTACGACGATACAAAAACCCTCTTAGCTTTCTCCCTACTTTGATCTTCACCTTCACCCATGTTCGACATCGGCAGCCTGTGTCAGAGAGCGGTGCATGTGTGTGGTCACATGTGGAGCTGTCGGTGCTATGTGTGAATGAGGTTAGCATGTGTGAGCGCTGGGTTAATCCTACAGCGACACGCTAATCCTGACGGACGCTAACTGTCTGCTCTGCGTGCCCCACAGACACAGGGGACAGCAGCTGAGGCTACACACACACAGACACAAGGTTAGGACAAGTACAGAGAAAAGGCCAAAGACAAAATGAAAAGCAGAAGGAGAAATGTTGTTGTGAAAATTGGCGAAGCTCGGATTACAGCGGGAGCTAGCTCAGCAGTGGAGTCTCCCCCGAGTTCCTGACAGTCAGCGGTACCATCGGACTGTTGAAGTGTAAAGCTAAAGACAGAGGTTTTATTTCATTTTTAAAGTATTGTTGTGCTATACTTACTATGCACTTATATTGTGCTGTGTGCTCCTCATCCCAACTGTTTTGTGACCTGTGATGCAACACTGAAATAACCCGACTGAGGGACGAATCAGAATTTTAATCCTGTATTTCGTCCAACATTCAGTTAAAGTGATAGTCTGTAACTCTAAATGAATTACACATTTTAGGAAATGTGTTAAATTGACCTCCTCGCCTTCCCTTCTCTTAGCTATAGCTCAGAATCCACGATGCCGTCGAGGTTAACCAATCGAGTCGTGCCAAGGGCTGTCAATCATCGGTGCTGATGCTCGTAGCTGCTCATGCTCAGTTGTTTGTTTTTGCGGAGCCTCCGAATCAAGTCTCTATTAGGCTCTGGAACTACATGAAAACTGAACAACGAATTCTGAACATCCGCGCTGAGGTCTTTATGTATATACTGAACCTATATCCATAATCATTGGGGTGACAGTAGCTCAGTTGGTAGAGCATTGGCCTTAAGGCCAGAAGGTCGTGGGTTCAATTCCCACCTTCTCCACCGACTCCCACTGATAACTGCTGTCGTTGTGTCCTTGGGCAAGACACTTAACCCCACTTTTCCCAAAAAGCCCCCACTCAAGGCTATGCTCACAGTCAGAGAGCAACCGTCCTCCTG